AAGAAACTTGATTTATGGATCCCTCACCAGTTAAAGGAAATTCATTTGACGCAACGGATTAGCATCTGTGATTCGCCGCTACTGAAACGCAATGAGAATGAGAATGATCCATTTCCGAGGAAGAACCTAGTTACTGGCGACGAAAAGTGGATAGTTTATAACAATGTTACTCGCAAGAGATCATGGGTGAAGCAAGATCAACCAGCCCAAACAGTATTAAAAGCAGCAGAGATTCACCAAAAAAGATTATGCTGTCAGTCTGGTGGGATCACAAAGGAATTTTGTATTTTGAACTCATGCCGCAGAACCAAACGATAAATTCAAATGTGTATGTTGAAGAACTCGAAAAACTGAAGGATGCAATTGAAGATAAGCGGCCGGCATTATCAAATCGGCGGAAGGGTGTTGTTTTCCATCATGATAACGCAAGGCCCCACACACCTTTGGTTACTCGGCAAAAATTATTGCAACTGGGTTGGGATGTTTTGTCACACCCACCATATAGCCCTGACCTTGCGCCTTCGGATTACCATTTGTTTCGTTCCATGCAAAACTCTTTAAATGGTGAAATTTGTAACAACGCGGATGATGTCGGATCACACCTAATTCCGTTTTTTAATAGCAAAGACCAGACATTATACGAACGGGGAATTTGTACTCTGCCAGAACGATGGAAAAAGGTGATCGACAAGAACGGCCAATATCTAATTGAATGAAGTTATATTTTTAAACAACAATTCCGAATTTGCCTTCTTATTTGAAATCGGCAATGACTTAGTTGCCAACCTAATAAGAAGTTAGACGGATTGAACATCTGAAAGAGAAACTTTATTTCGTAATTTTAAATTTATAATTTTACTGTAAATTGAATTTTAAAGTTTATTTTAAGATGCGCGCTTAATTATACCATAATATACCTTATCGATTGCTTTTTCATCCATAAAGTGAATGTCTGCCCAAACTGTTCTCAGGTAGAATTGACGTCACGGAAGTTGTCTATGACAAGTAAATTTTGAGTTAGAGAAAGGGAACCATGTAAAATGTCAATTTATGATAAGACTGTGGAAAGTCAGAATTTTAAATTAATACTTACTCAATAGACACAGGAAGTGAATAAATAATGGGAAATTAATATAAATTTACAAACAAAAATACACCCAGGAGGTCTCGGCACTTTACATTCAAAGTCTAGGATAGCACTATGCCAATTATGTTGCCTGGATACGAAATTCAACAAAGCGGTCGTACTTTCTCAGCAATAAACTCAATTGGAAGCAGAGAGCCACCCAAAAAAGCTGAGATAACAGAATGTAGAAAACTCTATCAGCTGCTGAGAGAGAAAAACAAAACAGTGGTTATTGGTAAAACGCTATGAGCTGCTGGGAGAGAAAAACAAAACAGTGGTTCTATCTATGAGCTGCTGAGAGAGAAAAACAAAACAGTGGTCCTTTAGCAACCCAAAACAGCTGAGATAAAGGAATGTAGACAACTTTATGAGCTGCTGAGAGAGAAAAACAAAACAGTGGTCCTACCAAGCTGCTGAGAGAGAAAAACAAAACAGTGGTTCTATCTATGAACAGCTGAGATAAACGAATGTAGAAACCTCTATCAGCTGTTGATGAGATAAAGGAATGTAGAAAACTCTATCAGCTGCAGAAAACAGCTGAGATAAGGAATGTAGAAAACTCTATGAGCTGCTGAGACAGAAAACAAAACAGTGGAAAACTCTATCAGCTGCTGAGAGAGAAAAACAAAACAGTGGTCCTACAATGGATTCCTGGTCATTGTGGCATTAAAGGCAATGAACTTGCTGGCACACTCGCTAAGAAGGGGACAACGATATTGCAAAGCATGGTCAGCACGATGTCCTTTCACACAATGAAGGCCTTAATCAGAAGAGAATTCAAGACCTTTACCAACGAACTCAAAGCTCGAACAAAGGAGAAACAGTGGACAGTGGAAACAAAGGGGAAACAGTGGACAGTGGCACTCTCCGATTAGAGGAGAAATAGTGGACAGTGGCACTCTCCGACATACCCGGCTGGCGAGAATCGAAGCCGTTGCTGAGTTTAGACTACGTATCGGACAGTCCACACAATGAAGGCCTTAATCAGGAGAGAATTCATGTATGTGCAACGAAATTAAAGCTCGAACAAGTGGCACTCTCCGAATGCAACGAACTTAAAGTTCGAACAAAGGAAAAACAGTGGAGAGTGGCACTCTACCACATAGAGGAGAAATAGTGGACAGTGGCACTCTCCGACATACCCGGCTGGCGAGAATCGACCGTTGATGAGTTTAGACTACGTACCGAACACGATTGCCTATAAACACCTTCACAGATTGGGAGTATACACTCAACTCACATGTACACCTTCACAGATTGGGAGTATACACTCAACCCACATGGACCTTCACAGATTGGGAGTATACACTCAACCCACATGCCCCCTTCACAGATTGGGAGTATACACTCAACCCATATGCCCTTTCACAGACTGGGAGTATACACTCAACCCACATGCCCTCTGCACAGATTCGTACCGGACACGATTGCTTGACAAAACACCTTCACAGATAGCCGTTGATGAGTTTAGACTACGTACCGAACACGATTGCCTATCAAACACATGCCCTCTATGTAACCTACATGAGGAAATGGAGAAGCCATGCCCCCTATGTAACCTGCAGGAGGAAATGGAGAAGACGCACCTGATTCGGTAACCTACAGGAGGAAATGGAGAAGACCCACCTGATTCGGTATATTGGGAGAATACACTCAACCCACATGCCCTCTATGTAGCCTGGGAGTATACACTCAACCCACATGCCCTCTATGTAACCTAAGAGTATACACTCAACCCACATCCCCTCTATGTAACCTACAGGAGGAAATGGTATACACTCAACCCACATACCCTCTATGTAACCTACAGGAGCCTCATGCCCTCTATGTAACCTACAGGAGGAAATGGAGAAGACGCACCTGATTGTATTGGGAGAATACACTCAACCCACATGCCCTCTATGTAGCCTTGGGAGTATACACTCAACCCACATGCCCCCTATGTAACCTTCAAGAGGAAATGGAGAAGACCCACCTGATTCGGTGTCCCACAGGAGGAAATGGAGAAGACCCACCTAATTCGATGTAACCTACGTATACACTCAACCCACATGCCCTCTATGTAACCTACATTTGAGAAGACCCACCTGATTCGGTGTCCAGCCCTAAAGACACAGAAGACCCACCTGATTCGGTGTCCAGCCCTAAAGACAGGAAGACCCACCTGATTCGGTGTCCAGCCCTAAAGACAAGGAGAAGACCCACCTGATTCGGTGTCCAGCCCTAAAGACAAGGAAGACCCACCTGATTCGGTGTCCAGCTCTAAAGACAAGCAAGAAAGCCAGAGATACTGGGAAGCAAGAAGACAGCTAATGAGCTGAAAGCAGAGTACGGGGAAGCAAGAAGACTGCTAATGAACTGCTATTAATTAACCGCTATAAATGTAAGAAGCAAGAAGACAGCTAATGAATTGCTATTAATGAACTGCTATAAATGTAATTAAGCCAGAGATACTGGGAAGCAAGAAGACAGCTAAATGAACTGCTATTAATTAACTGCTATAAATGTACCCCCCTTCATGAACGAGCCAGCTGGGAAGCAAGAAGACAGCTAATGAATTACTATTAATTAGCTGCTATATATGTACCCCCCCCCATGGGGAAAGCTGACGTCAAAGTTTAAGTGCTAATAATAAATATCATAAAGCATGCCATTTGAAATAAATAAATAATCAAAGTCTAATATAGGAACTATAGAACAAAAGAATAAAAGTTTGAACAAATTTTTATGCAACAAGGTGATTAATTTTGCATATTATCTTCTTATTATGTCAATTTGACACTTTTGAAAAGTCGAACTTCATCACGAAACCATCTCAATTAAAGTTGGAATTTACTTAAAAAGTTAACGAAACAAACTAAGTTCAGAAGATAGAAATAGATTTAAGGATTCCTTGTTTTGGCTTGAATTATCTTGAAAAACCATAATTAAAAGAAAAATTTACAGATTAAGTTTAATTGATTTTAAATATGCTGTGCGGCAAGTGTAAAATTAGCAATAATAAGTTAATTAGTTATTTAGAAATAATTGTGGAAGAATTAAATAAATTGTAGATTAACTTTTTTTAGCTAAAGTAGCCATATGGATATATAAATAAATAATGCTCTAATTTAGGATTGAAAATAATTTATAAATTTGTCTTGAACATTATAGTTTATTCGACTACAATGCGGAGATTCAATAAACGTCATATTTTGTTTAACTTGTAAAGGTAACACGCGGTCATTATAAGCTGACGGGATCAGCTGTGAGATCAGTAATGACAGAGCTTGTTTTGAGGAGGGGCAATGAACTTCAATCGCGGATTGTCAAGTCACTTTATCCAATTGCAGTTCGCTATAATGCAACATTACCAAAATGCTTCATGCAATATAAGGATTATTCAAACTCCCCTACTTGGGAAGAAACTTTGAAAATTCAAGGTAAGTGCGATAAATAAAAATTAATTCCCTTTTTATTGTCATTTGAAAAATTGCTTTAAAAGTTCTATCTCCTTGACAGTTAATTTGAGATTTTCTCAAGAATGAGTTACTTAAATCTTTTGTTTGTTATATTTTTACTTTAGATATGCGACCTTTGTCACCTAAGGACCTAAAAATTATGAAAATCGTTTCCGATCAGCCTATACCTCTGTGCTGTAGCCTCTATTACTATGAAGTGAATATTACCGCTAAAAGTCAGTGTGGGTAAGTTTTTCTCTTTTATGGAATATGTCCCTATTTTATTCGAATATAATTCATCTTTTTTTCAAGAGCTCTCAAGGTCGGTTTTACGTTCGACGATTCTGAAAAGGCGAAATACCGTCGTAAGTTAACACATCCTATTCTGGGTGTTGCTTGATTATTTACTATCATGCTTTATCTTTGACAATTTTTATTTCTTTTAATAATTTATTCTTTAGTTCTTAAATAGCCTAATCTAAAAATTGTTCACACTTTTCGCAATTTATTTGCTTTTAATCCGATTTTTTTCATTATTAACTAAAGTTTTCTATAAAGAAAGTTGGCGTGCATAATAATAGTTGGATATTGACACAAAATAGCCGATTTCTCGCAATGGACTTTTTCTTTTAATTTAGATTACAACAAATTCGTCGGTTACCATAGTAACACGGGTCAGATTCGCCTAAATGACATTGATCCCTCACAAGTGGATGAGGATAGAATCGCCTTGGGACCTCCTTTCACTGTTGGTGACGTTATCGGCTGTGGTGTTAATTTCGTTAGTAATTCAATTTTCTTCACCAAGAATGGGATGTTTATTTTCTCCACCACTCTTCAAACTAAGTTGGTAGGTCGTTCGCTTTTCTTCTCTATCCTTTAAATCTTTTCATTGATCAATTTTATCTACTTTTTTATTATCACCACCTGAGTTACATTTACAATCGAAGAAATTGGCTGTTTATTTTCTAACTAAAATGTGACGCGTGTTTTGCTTTATCATCTTATCGTCTTAATTTCAAATGCACATACTACCAAAGCATCTATCAAGTTCTTTACTTTTGACGGAAAAAGTACTTCCCTACTTTGTAAACAATTCTTGTCAATATGTTCGATTTATGTGTGATCTTGACAATGCATATTACCGCTCCCACCCCCCGCCTCCTCTCTCTGTTTAATTTGCAATATTTGCAAGATTACCATGTTTTGAAGGCAATGTCCTATTCATTTTAGTTTCATTCAAGTGTTTGAATTACAGCGCTGTTTCTTTATGCGTTGCTATTAATGAAACGACCTAGTTTTCGCTTACGGCAATGACACAGCACTTTTGTTAATATTTAATGCACCAATCGTTATGTGTCTACTTCTTCTGTGTAGATTTCGCGTTCAGTCTATGACCGTGTCAAATTTTGCTACAAAAACCAGTTTCCCTTTTCTTGATTTTCTGTTCTATCATAAATTTTAAAGTGCATCTTATTTTGCTAACGAACCTTTTTTTGTAATCTCAAGTTTATCGTCGTCTAATTAGGATAATTTTATTAATTAATAGGCAAATCGATAAACATAAATTTATCAGCCTCTTCAAGTTGTTACTTTTACTATTCTTTTCGTTATTGAAATACTTGGATTAATAATAGCCTTAATCAAACCTCTTCATGAGTTTTAATGCTACCTGCCTAATCATTAACTCCGATTTTATCACTAGTATTATTAAGTACAGGCTGAGGGTATCAATTACACCCTAAGGCGCCTATTATGATTTTAATTGCCGTTTAAATTGCGTCAACTTTTTTCTTCTTCTTCTTACATAACACCAACTGCGGTTTACTTTTAACGCTCTTATAAAAATTAGATTTGATTTCGGTAAATGTCATTTTGAGCTTTTTAGGAGTGGAGGTGGAGGTGGAGGTGGAGGGGGGGTTGGGAGTGGCTTTAGCATCGAATTCCATTCATTCTTTCCTTCCTGTCTAATTCTGGATTTTAAACACACACACACACAAAATTAGAACCCCTGTATGCACATTCCTTTCTTTCCATTTGCCTAGATTTCATCTGCAATTTTGAGAGTCCTCAAACTCGTTTAAAGTAATGCAATTTTTTTGTTTATTACGCACTTTCTTGGTTCTTGTGGCAGTGTTGTGGTCTTAAATTCTCTTTTGTGATGTTCCAGGTAAAATTTGGAAGGAGATTGAAAAATCAGCCTTCTCCACTACCTCCACACTTAATCGTTTTAAACATTATTTGTTGTCCTCATTTGTTGATCATCTATCGAGTTATTTGATCCAGCCGCAAACCCCACTCCCACTGTTTGAAAGTGGTTTTAATTCACTTGGTTGAGGCAAAGGTTGCGTTTTCAGTTTCCTTACTTTGGACGCCCAATCCAAGTTGGAATGTCAAGTTATAAACACAAGGAATGTTACGATTGAAAAAAACCTGGTAAATGATTTTAGAGCCTGCAGTTATGCGTACTATTATTAATCTATTTTCACCAACTTTTTAAATTCAATTTCGTCGAGAAATGACTGACATAAGTCGCTGTAATGCCATTCAAAAATTATCTGTGCCATTTGGCTACTTGGTATTGCATTCTTATATTTAGTTAACTTTTTCTCCGAGTGGTGGGGTGGGGTGGGGGGGGGGGGGGGGGG